ATATATATAGTTTCTTTACCCTTCCCTTTGGAAGGGTTATTTTCTCCCTCTGAGCAGTTTTTTTCCCCTTTCTCAATACTGTGTATTTTGGACCTCATTTACTCTTGTAGGCTCCTACACTAGGGAGGCAATAGGATACTTACACATTTGATTCTGATTTATGTCACTTCTATGTATGGTCCCTAGTTGCATCTATTCACCTAAGACAACCTTGAGTTTATCTTTCTTTACAGCAGAGTAACACTCTACTGTATCAAAAGACCACATCTTTTTTATCCATTCCTTGGTTGATGGGCATTTGAGTTGCTTTCAAGATTTAGTTATGAAAGATTGTTCTGCTATAAACATGGGTGCTGATATATTGTTATGATATGATATTTTTAATTTGTTCTTTAAGTTAAGGATCAATTATTATGTGATTTAAATAACTAATGGTTGTGTTTATATAAAAGTTTTATGGAATTATTTTGAAATGTTTTAAAGTTATCAGTGAATAAGTTAAAGAACTCTATTAATGAGTAGTATGCTAGCAGGAATCAGTTAATATAACATTCCTAACAGAATCTTAAAATTAGGAAATATAATTGGGCTCAGAAATTAGAGGGAGCCTACGGTAAATGTACTGCAGGCAACTGATTTCTGAGTGTTGAAGTGCTCTGGGCCATGTTCCCTGCAAGGACAGAAGGTCGCGGTCTCCGCTGCCCACCACTGCCCATGCTGCATCTGCCCACCTGCGTGGAGACCTCGGGGAAGCGGGGCAGGGGTAGGGGCCGGGACATGAGCCAGGAAGAGTGACAACACAGGGCAGCTCTGCCACGTCACACACACACCTCTCTCACATGGAGACTTCCTGTGTTCGTAGGTGAGCGGCCCTATCAGTGTCCTTACTGTGAAAAAGGATTCAGTAAAAATGATGGACTCAAGATGCACATTCGTACACATACCAGGGTAAGATTTGATTTGCCTCCTTCATGTTGCTCCTAAAGACTGCATATTTTTAAAGAAACATTTGATTTTATGTAAGAGGAAGTGGTGCATTGGAAATTATATGTTTCTAGTGGCTATTTGAAGATGAAACTTTAGAAGGGAAACAAATGTAAAACAATCCCCAGCAATGTCTTGAGTCTTTGAATTACAAATCAATTTTCAGGAGTTACAAATGACAAACTGCCAGATAAATGGATTTAAATGTGGGAAATATAATATATATATATATAAAGCTTTTGTCTTACAGTATGTTGTAGTAATAGAAAGATGCTTGGATAGAGACAAGTCTGTTGGCATTTGGCTACTAAGTAATATTTACAAGCAAGTTTCTGTGTGAGAGGTGTTGTAAATAATTTAAATTTTTAGGGGAGTTGGAAAACACAAGTGCAGTGTTTTACCCTTTTCCTGTTGCTGTCCTTTGGTCTGCTTTTAGTATCTCTCAGTGGACTGTTGTCCTTCTGGTATACAGATCTCTCTCTCTCTCTCTCTCTCTCTCTCTCTCTCTCTCTCTCTCTCTCTCTCTCTCTCAAGAAATAATGTGTGCAGCCAGCATTGCGTTCAGGTGCTCTCCTCACTCACTGTCTGGGATTAGGGCACAATTACACACTTTGTATGAACTTTCCACATGAAAACTTTGTGTTGTTTGAAATGCCTACTCATGATTTTGCTCTTTGCTTTCTCTTCCACGTATTTCCCTTCTCATTTTGAATTTCTGGGAATGCTTATGGGCTGCACATACACCACACATTTTCCCACATTTTAAGACATGAGCTTAATCCCCTGAAGAGCAGTTCTAATTTAAGCTTCTCTTGGATTTCACTTTTTACTTTATCTATGAAATAAAACTTCAGAGGTTTATTTTACACAAAATAATAATACACAAATAATAATAATACACAAATAATAATTGCACAAAATAATAATATCCTTCTCGGTATAATAATATTTTAGCCTTCTACTTCAGTTCGAGAGTGCTCAAAAAATATCCTCTGGGTCCTATTAAGAAAGTACTCATGCTCTGGTGGTGGCAAAGAGAAGAAGCAATTCCACAGCGATTTCCTCTGGGATAGCACATTTGTATTACATGATTACTAGAAATGGGAGCACTTTCTGAATATAAAAGTAATTCACAAAGTATAAAAGATTAAACAAACATTACTGCTTTTAATAGTATGATTTAAATTACGAGGTTCAAAATCTACCTTTCACAATGAGTTTTATTAAAGAGATTTACATTCATTTTAGATTGGTTTAGAAGTTCTCTTGTATGTGTATCTTTCACCAAAGTGTCAATAATTTATTTAAAAGATGCCCTCATATAGGCAAAGATGATTTGATTCTTAGTGGACACTAGTGATGTTAATAACCATGTTCCCAGTACACTGATTTCCTTGATTACTGAAGATAGGACTGTATCATAGAAGGAGCTCTTTAAATCCTTAAAACACTTGGTTAGTGTTTTGGTTTTCTCAAGAAGTTTTAGTATTTCTAACTTAATTAGTAAACTTTTTCATAGAAACTAATTAATGAGAATAATTTAAATAGTTAAGATAAGTGCAAATAAGCACAAAGACTACAAATTACAGGCCGGGTAAGACTGCATGATAAGTGTTCCAGGGAATTCACATTTATTAATTCACTTAGGCTTCATAAAACTATGGGCAAGGAGTGTGATGATCACCTTTTTAAAAATGAGTGACTGAGACACAAATAAATAATAGAGTGGTCATGACCTAAGAGCGCATCTCTTTCTCTACTACACTTTTTAAAAAATTTTATCAATTATTTCTCATTTCACTGGTTGTGATGGGTTTCCCAGTATATTTCTTTTCTTTCCTTCCTTCCTCTCTTTCTTTTTTTTTTTCTGACTGGTAGTTGACCTCTAGGCCTTGTGCTTGCCAGGCAGGTGCTGTGCCACTATATTTCTTTCTTTTTTTCTTTTTTCAGAACTGGGGATTGAACTCAGGACCTTGCATTTGCCAGGCAAGTGCTCATTCTACTGAGCTATCTCCCCAGCCCCCTCCCACTATATTTCTAAGCTAAGGAAATTAGGACTCCAAGTTTGACAGTCCATATTCTTGGTTAGTGTTGTGCAATGGTCTTTATGCTATGTTGTAAGATGGAGCTGTCATCAAAAGAGAGCAAACCACAGCCTTTGGCCTGGGGAACCTCAGAGAGCAGAAGCACTCAGAATTCTATTTTTTAAAATTTTTAGTATTTTTTATTCATTTTAATGAGGAAAAAAGATAAAATAGCTATGAAACAGTTTCAAAACAGGTTAGTAAGATGGTTACAATAATTAATACATTGCATATTATTGACTTTGTAGTACTTATTCAGAGGACAAGATGCAGACGTGATATCTTGTCTAAACAATATTAGTACAAACTTTTATTCTTGGCCCTAGCATTTCAAAGTCAGTCCGGATTTTAGAAAGGAATTCACACAATGAGTAGAGAGCACTTTCAAATTGTAGGATGGATACATGTAAATTTGGGCTTTACCTCAGACCCTAATTTTTCATCTTTATGCATTATATCACATTATCTCTCAGATAGTGTATATGTTCACATTCATTCTGAAGCAGTCCATGCATGTCCATGCATGTAACTGTTTGTTTGTTTAAGACAGTCTTGCTCTTAGTTCAGGTTGGGTTTGAACTCACTATGTAGCCCAGGCTGGCCTCGAACTCACGGTGATACCACTACCTTAGCCTGGAGTACTGGGATTACAGGTCTGTACCACTACGCCTGGCTACATGACATACCTTCATTTCTTTTTACATTAACTTTCCCTCTCCTCTCCATCCCTTCCTCCATCTCTTGATGCCCTTCCCATTTGAAAAAGATCTATCTCTCTACTTAGTGTCTGTCTTTTACTTAGCATTTTATCTATAATTTGAGTTTCTCATAAAAGAATCCAAGTGATATTTAGACTCTGTGTCGGTTTTACTTCTTTTAACATTATGGTCTTAAGGAGCATTCATTTTCCTGTAGATGACTCTTGAGTTGCTCTTTCTTCATTGCAGAGCTGTAATCCATTGTGTGTAAATACCACATTCTCTTCTTGCCTTCATTTGTTGATGGGCATATAAACTGCTTCTAAAATTTAGCTCTTATGAATTCTGCTTCTATACCTATGGGCATGCAAGCATTTGAAATAGTTTCCTAAGTATTGAATAAATACAGATTATTCTTTGCCAATAGATCTAAATTTTCAAAAGTATGTTGAGGTTATCAACTAGTGCAGTGATGCTAAAGCTGTGACACTGATGTGTTTTTGTTTTAAGGGACAAGATGCCAATATAGAGAGTTTTTTTCCTGAACTAAAATCTCAGCATTCAGGTTTAATAACAATGTTTGCACTTTGTGATAAATAAGTTCTGAGTTGCAGTTTGGCACTTAATCTCTAAGAGGTTGAGTCAGCCTATCATTGATGTAGTACAATCAAAGCATTACAAAGAAGCTACTTTTTAAAAAAATTCTAGAAAAACATTCTCTGCGAGGTAATATTTTCCCAGTATTATTTGCCTTTAGCAAGGTTAAGGAAAAAAGATTGCTGTACTTGGAACCCAACACATTGAAGTTTTCCTTTTGCATTTACATTACATTTACTATTCAGATAGCTGCACTGGCCAGATTTTGCTCCATTTAAAAGCTTTTAACTCCATTATAGCATCAGCAATAATGGAAACCACGTAATTCAGTAAGTGACAACTTTGCATGCTTAGGTGACACGCCTCAGAATGCTCTGCCACGTCTTCTACCTGCTATAAACTTTTGGATAATTCTTGATCTTTTTCTTCTAACATATTTCTTTGGCCCAGATTTTCTTGTCCTCCTTTTCGGGACACCAGTTAGACTTGACTATTGTCCCAGAGTTCTTGGTTGCTCCATTCTCTTTTATCTTATTGGCTTTGTTTTTGAATCTTATGCAACTATCTCTGATAGTTTTTTTTTTTTTTTTAATTTCCTGCATTTTCCTTTGGCTTTAATGAAAAATAATTTTCATAGTTCCCTGCTGAAGTTAACCACATCTTCATGAATGTGATATTAGTTTTTTATTAGATTCTTTGACATCTTAATTATACTCACTTTAAATTTTCTGATAGTTCTTCCTTCTGGCCATCTTTGAATCTTATTGAATGTTTTATCTCTTGATGATGGGTACCAGAAGGCTTTGCTTTAGATATGTCATATAATGCCTGTTATGCTGTGTAAAAGAATAGTAGATGTTTGATATGCAGGCAGTAGTGAGGTTAAGCTTAACAGACTAAGTTGTATGGTAATAACAATAAACTTGTCTTCTAGATGGTTAACAACTTAAGTTTGCAGACCAAAATTAGAGAAAAAGGAGGGCTGCAAGGAAAGCCAACATTTTGGCCCTAGCCTTCTAAGGT